TGACGAGAGAAGGTCCCCAACTGTCAAATCGCTTTCGAGTCAGGAGTACGTGCATAATGTAGGTCCTAATGAGCTATGAATACTCTGAAAAGAGTTCGGGTCGCTAGCTTATTACTGTTGAGATACTGCATTTTTGCGATAGTTTTAAGTACAATGCCGTGACCCCCCAAAGGAACACCAGAAAAAAAGAGTTTCGAATTTCGCCTTGAAACTTTGCACAAAAACAGGCCTAAGTGAGAGTCTTTTATTGTGAAAGTTGCAGATCTTTTGGTTGTTCCTGTTCTGAAATAAGAACATTAGAACCTGTTGGGGGTATACGAGTAATGTAAAAAACATGCTTTTTAGCCGTATCTCAGGGTAGGAACAACCAAAAGACCTGAAACTTTCACAATAAACTACTCTCATAGAAGCCTATTTCTGTGCAAAGTTTCAAGTCAAAATTCGAAAATCAGTTTTTCCGGCTCCTTCGGGGGAGCACGGCATTGTGCTTAGTTGAAAATATCGCAAAAACGCAGTATCTCAACAGTAATAAGCTAGCGGCCCGAACTCTTTTCAGAGTATTCATAGCTCATTAGGACCTACATTATGCACGTACTCCTGACTCGAAAGCGATTTGACAGTTGGGGACCTTCCCGCGTGAGTTGATTTATACATGTTTCAAATTGTTTTCGTCGCATTTATTTTTCTTGAAAAATTTACATGAGTCTTCGTAAGCATCCATCAAAACAATGAATTCAGTTAAGAAATCATTTGAACAGTGGAAAACATTTTCTCACCTAGTAAACGAAAATTAACTTCTCTTATTTAGCAAAGACCATTTTCAAAAAGAAATCGAAAAGTATATATGTCGTTTTTTAACCCTTCCTTTAAGTCTGTAGAAACATGCGAGAGTCTGTGTGGTTTTTTTCCTTTTCCAAAATATTGTTAAAGTGGAAAACTATACAATTCTCTTATGCATTTCGAAGAACTTTTGCGTCGTTATTCAACAACACTTCAATCGTTCGAGCTGAAATTTTTATCAGAGATACGCTATTAGATAAGTAATCATTTGGGATAATTTTCTATTTCAAATATATCATTTAAGAAAAACAATAATGTCTCATACTTCTATGTGCAAATCTTATATTTCTGATACAAAAAGTGCATGTATACTCTTTGGAAATAGGCTTATTTTATTACGAAAATATTCATCATGAAATTCTACATTAGACTAGATATGATTGAAGGAAAACTGAAGATGGTTCGAAAATGGTTTTTATGCATTTCTGTTCTTCGTACTAACCTGTATCAACAGAAACCATATAAATATTTGAATTTTTATAATCACTTGCTGATGTTCGTGTCATCATATTTAATGCTGCTTTTGCTGCATTTGTATGTGGATGTCGATCAGTTTTACTTTTACGAGCAAATGAGCCTTCCATAGCTGAAACATTAATAATAAATTTTTTACTCTCAGGATCTGGATGTTTATCAGCCATGAGAACTTTTAGTTTGCTATTAAGAATAAATGGTGCTAATGTATTTATAGTAAGCACTTCATTTATTTCAGTAGTTGATAAATCAGCAAGACGTAACATCCAAGAATTTGTTGAACGAAAATCAATTGGTTGTTGATTAACATCAAATAAAGTTTTATTATCTATTGATGGTATTTTGGAAATCTCATTTGAATCTTCTATAGAAGAAGGTAGAGCAAGTGATAATGATGAAGATGATTGATACAAAAATCGATTGAATGATGGTAATAATCGTTTATAGAATTGTAGATTTCCATCAAGAATTTGTTGATGATCATTTGGTAAAATTGAATAATTTATTAATCGTTCATTATAAATTAAATGTTGATAAAATTCTTTTGGTCGTTGAATAGTTTGACAAGCATTGTTAATTAAAAAATCTAATCGATCATATTTATCAATTAACATTTGTGTAAATTGTTCAATTAATTGTGAATAACGAAAATCTACTCCATAAATATTTATACGATTTTTCCACTCATTAAAATCAAGTTCATTATTTAAACGATTCAAAAGATCTATTGGAAATCGACTTGTAGCAATAACGAAACAATTTGCACGTAATAATTTTAAAACAATTCGGTAACCAATTTTAACTCGGCCACCAGTTACTAAAGCTATATGATTTGATAGATCTGTTGTTTGTAAACGTTTTTCAAAATTAAGTTGTGCACATGCTGGACACAGAGAATCATAAAAATAATGCAACGTACGATATTTAAGTTTACATATATAACAAGGCTTTGGATGAAGAAGTCGTTGAGAAACATTTAATAATGAAGAATTTCCGCTTTCAATTTCTGGCTTTGTTGATTGAATTTGTACAGTTCCATCAGGTACAAGAATATTTTGTAGCTGAAGTTGTTCAAGTTTTTTTTCTCGACCAGAACGAAGTAAACATGAATTTTTTGTTTTTCGATCGATTAATTTTGTCTGATGACGTTCGTTTTTTAATTTTTTCTTTTTTAGTCGTTTTTCTGCAAGAAATAAATCACGAATTAATGGTCGAAGATTATTGTATTCATTTGATTCTAATAATGGATATGCTGCCTTGGAATTAAATTTTTCAAGAACCTCAATACATGTATTTAAATCATTAGCTGAGAATGATGGTGGCGATGATGATATTGGCTTATCGATTGACATTGTAACTTTTTTTCTACTTAAAGAAACAAAAATTTGTTGAAATTATATTCGACTTTCTTTGATGATGTAACGATCAAAATGCAGCTGATGTAAAAGCATAAAAATCTAAGACATGTTTCGTTATGCAGCGTCATAGTGTAATTTCACAACACATATGGTCGCAGAAAGTGGGCGAAAGCAGAGCGTGAACCAAATCATAGTCCATTAGTCCACATTTTACCGTTCTATATATACTGTAAAGAATTACAAATAGTTGTCCGTAGCTGTCAATGAAGTATTTTGTCATCAGAGTTTTTAGTACAACTGCAGATTAGCCACACCGCGGCACCCACACTCTTTGATGTACCTTGTTGCTTACACAAATTAGTGTAGAGAGTGTAGCTAATGTGCAGTTGAACCGAATTTTTGAATAAACTTCTTCGTACTTTTAAGCTCATTGAATTTCAAGAGAAGATCAACTTACTATGAACTCTTCAATAAAAAAGCCGAGGAAATACAAGATTGCAAATTCAAACTAGTCAATGTTTATATCTAGTTTATTACCAAGTATTAGACTACTATTCTATATCGCAGTAACCGGATGCAAACCGTCGGTTAACCACGACTCTTCTGATTAAATCTTTTTAACTCTTTGAAAAATGTTAGATATTAGCTGATGTAATGCTCCTAACTAGCTGTGAACACAATCGAGTTGCTTTTACGAGCAACATCGACTGTTTTGACTTACTTTACCAGTTTGATTGCTTAGTATCGATGATGTCACCAAATTATTCATTGGTCAAAAGACTAGGCATGCACCGAACCCGGGTACAGACCGGGAATCCCGGGCTTGATATTCACGGGGTTCGGTCATTCCCGGTACCTGAAATGCTGGATTTCGTGTTTTTTTATTTGGGTCATTGCTAGACACTCGGAGAAGCGAAGAGCATACCGGAAATACCAAGCCCGAAGTTTCTGGAGCTCGATCATTCCCGGGTTCGGTCATACCTGGCTTCTATGGATGCCTAATGCAGACCAAAGTACATGAATCACGAAATCTAATGTTTTAGGTATCGGAAACACCGAGCCCGGGAATGACCGAACCCGGAAANAGAATTTCAAGTGCTATCAGAATGTGTGATTTATTTTGTAAAAACTTACTCCCATAGGAATAGTAATTGGAGAAAAAACGAATGCAGACTTTTGATATTTGTCAATTGAGAGTATGTTCATTGAATTTGTTTATTTTCTTGTATATTCAATGATCTAAACCAAATAAAATATATGAAATAAAAGTACATGTTAAGCCGTATCATATGTGTAAGTTTGAGTTTAATTTGTATTCATTATCATCAAAAATTAGATTTAAAAAAATCTGCCATAACTTATGGGACACCCGGTATGATTGTTTATTATGTTTAATCAATGAATTTTATTAGATCAAATATTCTCTATCGAATTCAATCAATAAATGATGCAAGTAAATTAAAGAATATAATTTCAAATCAAGACGATGAAGATATTATTGTTATTCATACTCAATCTCTTACAGCTCAAGGTATGAGGATTTTTGTTTATAGATAATTCATTAATCTAGACGTATTCACAAGACAACACAGTTCAATCGCTTTTCTCTTGAGACTATTAATATTTGATATGTCATGATGCATAGTGAAAAAGAAACTGTTTCGGTTTGCTTTGCCAATGTTCCTTTATTGAGCTATGGAAGTTTTACGCAATGTTTACTAAAAATTTGCATGACTGAATTTCGAGTTGGACTTGGGCCCACAGGTAAACCTTATAGCTACATAAAATTTTATCCATAACAAACGTATACTTGCTAAGATTTTTCGATATGGATACACTGGAAAAATAAAATAGAACAAATTCTTTTACTATTCATCATGATCAATCTAACGGCAATAGTATTCAAGTGAAAAGCTTATTGATTTGATATTATATGATTTCATTTTTCTAAAGAAGTATGTAAAACTATTTTCGAGAAATATCCATGTCATGATGTAAAATACTGATTAAATGTCATTGTAGTTTTTATTGCGTGACTAACATGATTTTCTCCATTTTACAAAGAAAGGAATACTTGTAGACCTTTAATATAAATTACTTCAGGCTGGTATTAACCCTAATCCTAGTCGAAACTTATGAAAGAGTTGTCTGAAGTGATTCATCACTTTTGATTTGATATGTTAGACATATAGGAAGAATATCGAGAATAGCATAATCTTAAATGGCTACGAGCCTATAGATATTTTCCAGAGATTTACAACAGCTGTCTTGGATTTTAATCATGAGATGATCATCGATTAAAGAATGTTTAACCAGAAATGTTGTCTATAATTAGATCTAATGTTTCGAAGAATATCTTTAAAATTTCAGTCAAAACGATTGTTAGAAAAGAATCGTTTTGATTGAAACTTATAAAATATTCTTCGAATTACCAGATGTAATTATAGATAATAATTTAGATCAAACATCTTTTGTTCGATGTTTCTCTCAATAAACCATCTATGATAAAAAGTTAGTAAAACTGCCATAAATCTGTAGAAAAACACTTATGAATTCGAATCCTTTTTAGTTTATTCTCGCATTAGCTTCCTCTCTATCTATTTTAAATTTTGAGCTCGAAAGTGATAAATTACTTCAAATAGTTCTCTCATTAATTATTAATTTTATTGAATTTCTTATATTCAGGAATCTTGAATTCTAAAATCGATAGACAAAACTCTTAATATACAAAGTAAATGTGGAAACCTCGGATTTAAATCCGAGTGTTATGTGTACTTCAAAAAGTAAACAGATGAGTTATCATAGCATGTGTAGGCATCAAAATCATCCTAACAAGTCATTTTTCTTAAGACTTTATTTCTATTGTTTACTGTTCAACCAATAGGATTTTGAAGCAAGTGGAGCTCAGATTGAAGTTCTCCGTCCCAGAAAACCTTTGTTCAAGTTTTATAAAATCTCGAAGTATCGATTCTCTGATTGGAAGATGGGGTTTTTATTTTCGATCAATCAGAGCGTGGACAAACACAGAAGCAATTTCCGTTCAAGTATCTTTGCAAAAGGTGACTTAGCCTTCTTGTTTCTTAATGTTTTATATACCATTTTGTAGTCCGTAAAATTCTCTATCGAATGGTATATAATAGCTGAGGTTTTGTTTGATTATAAAAGAAAAAGGTTTTTTACGAAAACCGGGATAGGTCAATATTCGCATAGGAAATAATGACATTTTTTACGATAACATAGCAATTTCTTCACGAATCATTCTCATCTTCGAATTTAACCGAGATATCAGTGGGAAAATTCTATGCAGAAAGTTTCATGACAATCGGTTCATATTCTCGATAGAGCCCTGCAAGGTATAGATAACCTGCCCTGCCCTACCCTGCCAGGGCAGGGCAGGGCAGGTTACGCCAACAGTAGGGCAGGGCAGGTTACGCTAACAGCAGGGCAGGGCAGGGCCAGGTTATGAAAATTTTTACAGGGCAGGCTGCAGGGTACGAGTATCGTAACCTGCCAACCTGTGATGATTTTTATGCGGTAGATATTGCCGACATCTTTTGTAAAGTTATACATTAAGAAAAAAAATAGAAGTGATAGTGAACTGAAAAATCAATTTACATTGATCGCAAAGATATTTAATAGAAGCAAATATGTCGATAACCTATCCATTATACATTATATGGCTACTCAAGTTTGCATTTAGTTTTCTTATTTTGACTTTTATCTTCATCTTTTCTTCATTATCATCATTAACTAATCTGTCAAATATCATCATCAATATCGGTTAGATTTTTGCGCTAGTGAAATATCCACTATGTTTAATTCAAAAACAGATATAAAACGAAAAAAGAAATGGGCGATAGAAAAACTTAAAACTGGTGAATTTATAGCTACAGTAGAACCTCTGTCATCATCTCATGGTTCATTTTGGGAACATTTATTACGTATTAAACGTTTAAATAATGAATATCCACCGTTTGTAAAATGTCGATTGTGCGCTATGAGATATTATCATATTCCATATTAAATGGTACTTCTACTAGTAGCTATCATTGTAAAAATTGTTTAGATGAATCAAATACACTAAAAAACAAGAAAACTCTTGATAGGGTGTGGGTGCGAAAAGAAGATGCATATCAATATCGGAGTGTGTTATTAGTTCATCAGATGGAATATTAGAAAAAAGAAGATAGTTTTTAAATTCAGATATTGTTGATGATATTTCGATGATTAGAAATTTTCGAGATATATAATGTTATTGTTTTTTGCTTCATGGTTGTAACAAATTGAAATGAAATTATATAATGAATTAATATGAAAGTTTGGAATTTTCTTTAGTTTTAAAGAAAACAGTGCAGGGCAGGTTAAAAGTTATGAAATAAACTTACAAGGCAGGGCAGGGCAGGGTACATAAAAAAGCTTGCAGGACAGGGCAGGGTCAGGTTGTCAAAATAGCGTAACCTGCAGCCCTCTAATTCTCGATAGTTATCGTGTAAACGGCCGGACACACTGACCGTTTTGAGTACACAAAAATGAATATTTTGAACAAGTTAATTTATAAGATAAAAGCAATTAATCTGTTTTTTAGTGAACAGATTAAATTATAAAACAAGAAGAATACGTAATTTTTCGTTTAAGATCACTTTGCTGTTAGTCGAATAATTTTAAATTATGGACAATGGTTTACTTTTATTTATTCTATTGATAAGTAAGTCTTAATTCTTAATATATAATATAATAATTTTTCTCTGATGGCAGAAACAATGAAGAAACAATGGATTGTTTATATCATATTTATCCATTCGATAGTGGTTTTATTTTGCCACAATGTGCTATAGAAAATAATATTCGCATGAAATTAGAACAGCGAATAGGAACTAGAAAAGATCGATCGAATATTGTTAATTTATTTTTTGATCTAACTCATGTTAATGTATTTCAACGAACTTTACCAACATTATTTTATATACATACCGATACGACTTTTACTTTAATATCAAATCAAAATATTATTATCATTCCCGTAAATATGTAAGTCTCTAGCGCTGATTTTCTCAATATATATCTAGAGTAACTTAACGTACATGTAACATAAAAGTTAGCTTTAGAAAAATTCATTATTCTGAGTTAAAACAGTGACTCTCAAAATTAATCGATTAGATTTATTTTCAATTTTTTTTTCTGCTGTCATTAAAGTTATTAAGAGTTCAAATAGTAACTTATATAAAGAATTTTTTTCTATATCATTCAAACAGAGTTCTATTGGTAAATTCTTAGAGCTGAAAAACTTGAGTTTTTAGTTTTTCAGAGACCTTATCTTTAGAAAACTATCAGTTATTCTTATCTTCAAAAATTCTTATTAGCATTTATAAAAAAAAAAAAAAAAAAAAAAGTGAATATAAATCTAATCGAATCATTTTGAGGGTCACTCTATATAATGATTTATTATAGATTGAATTTCAAGGTAACAGATATAGACAATCATGTATTTTTACATGGTCCATATTCATTCTATTTATTTTGGTCAGCGAAGAAAGTAAGACAATGATTAATAAATATCATTGATAAATAATTAATATATTATAGAATATATTTCAACGTCTTGGTGATCAACCTTCGAATGAACTTCTTGATATTCTTATGCAAGAAGAACAAGAACAACATTTAAAAAGTATCTAATCATTCGTTTTTTTTCGTTTTGAACTATATAGATATATTCTTTATTAAATAGACGAATATGGAATGGTTGATGATGAAGTACGATATAGAGCT